CTTTGAATCATATGCAGATCAAATATGCAGTAATTGCAATATACTTTGACCCCAGCGATATTAATCGGATTTAATTTGTAATTAGATGTAGATATTTTTTACAAGTTAATAATTAAGTGAATATTTTCGACTTGATGTGGCTGATTTCAAAGAGCGAATTACGTTATAGTTGTACTTCTATCTAATGAAGTTAAGGTCCAGAAAGATATAAGTCAATAGATTTATCTTGTTAAATAATAGAGGAGGAATCTATTGGTTCAATTCTAATATTGCACGTTCCTTGAATGGCCAAACCTAACGGACGACGGAAAATAGATCTGTCCATCTCCTTGACAGCTATTGAGGGGGGGGGGGGGGGGTGGCTGTGGAAGACCCCCTCCTACCAGATCCGGCCTAGCTCTGTCACGTGATATTTAAAATGATCTAGCCCCTTCAAATCTAGGCCAACTGCAATCTGGGTCACATGATTTGGTGTTTTTTTTTAAAAAAGAAAAGCAACAAGTGGGTCCTGCCCAGAGAGCTGGTGACGGTTTCAGGCAGTGTATATTACGTCGTTCATCAGGGTTGATATACAGTGGCCAGATTGACATTTCAGAGACTCCGTGATCCGAGGTGGCTCTGCATCCCTTCCTCAACGATGGTCTCATTGATACTGAAAAATCCACTGAAGCGGGAGATTATTTCGTAAGAAAATCAAAAAACGTTTCTAGTAGCTCTTTTGGCAGTTTCCCGCGGGAGGAGGGAGGAAGGGGGGAAGGGAACCACAACGCCTTGTTTTGTTTCTACGACCAACATGAAACTTTTAAATAACCCAATTAACTACCCCAAGAACTCAAAATGAGCTAGACCCAAGCTTAAGCTTTTTAGGGTTGTTTACAGCCCCTCTCTCTCTGGTAGTTGTCAACCGGTCAGCTGGTACATGTAACTAAAACAACACCACCCCCCCCCCCCCCCCCCCCCTTAATGGCCTCCCGCCGGCCCGATAAGACCGATTTTTGCCCAAGGAAAAAGAACCTTACCCATGAAACACTTCCCCTTGGCCGCATTGTTCATTGGGCAGATATCTCTCGGCATTGCTGGTTATCGGGTACACATTATATCCGTTCCAAGGTATTCCCCATCACGATGTGATAACTTCCATATTTTGGGGGTATATTTCGGCAAGCTTTGCGTATCCCATGGTTTTGTACCTTCTATATATATCTTAGCGTACTTGTATATGTGCAAGCGTGCGTGTCTGCGTGTGTTGCGTGTGTGCGTGCAATGGCGTGGGTGAGGATGATGTGAGGGGTTGTAGGTGAAGTGTGTAGAGCATGCCTCCCATGACGACTTTTGGCAATGGATGTTCCAATTACATCTCAAAATCCAATGACATGTCTTCCATTTGTGCACCATGTATCGGTTTCTATTCTTATACTTGATTCTCTCCCTTGTATGGATACAATCCAAGCCAGTTCCATGCACAATGAAGTCTGGGGAAGTTATTTGAATATTTATAGACATTTTCAGACTGTTTATCAATTTTCCAATTTCATTAACTGAAGTGGGGTTTGAAATAAGTTAATATTGATTTGATAATTTTGGCCTCTGCCTCCTTTGCCCCATTTAAGTGATAGAGGTCTATACAAGACGCGAGGTTGCCTGCTTCGTGAATTCCATTTAAGTATCCTATTCTCCTTACAACCATCTAACCAAGTGTCATTGGCAGCCACCTCCACAAAGAAAGAGGAAGCAGTTTTCAGTTTCTTTTCTTTTCTTTTTTCTTTTCCCTTTTTTTTTTTTCTTTCTTTATTTGTTTTACTTGTTTTATTTCTTTATTTCTTTTTCATCCCATCTCATCTCATCTCATTTCTATATCTTCTTTTTATTTATTTGTTGTTGAACATTATTTTTTCGAAAGGCAGATGAAGGAGTGAAGGAGCAAGAACAAAGCAGATACCTGGAAGTGTTATATGAATGGGCAAAACACCATCCCAGATGGTTTCAAACAATATCATGGAAAGCAGTGGACCAACCAAACAAATCGATGATGAGAAGGGTTTGACAGAGAGAAACCCGGAATTTACCTTCACGAAGGAGGAGGAGAAAGTAGTGATACGCAAGTTGGACTGGAATCTCTTGCCGTTGATATTCGTCCTGTACAGCCTTAGCATCCTGGATAGAAGTAACCTGGGCAATGCACGCATTTCCGGCCTAGGGGAGGATATCGATTTGTCTGGGCGGAGGTACACTTGGCTGGCGACGGTGTTTTACATTTCCTGTAGGTGACGGTCATTTACTTGGTATCCCCCGGCTCTCCGTTCCCCCTTTGATACTAATTCCATGGGAATCAATAACAACAGACATCTTGTCCCAATGGACAACGATCGGCTGGAAAGCCTTCAAACCGCATAACTGGGTAGCTTTCTCCTCCTTCGCCTGGGGTCTCATCTCCACCCTGCAAGCCGCCACCAGAAGCTGGGAGGGTCTCATGGTGTGCCGTGTATTCCTCGGCATAACTGAAGCTATGTTCTCGCCCGGTATCGCCTTGTACCTCTCCTACTTCTACCCGCGGGAGCAAGTGGGCTTTCGAGTGGGAGTTTTCCTATCCGGTTCCGCGCTGGCGAATGCATACGGAGGTGCTCTCGCCTATGCTATCTCGCATATAAGAGGGTCTATTAGTCCGTGGCGCATTTTGCTCATTGTCGAGGGGATTCCCTCCTGCCTTCTCTCAGTCATTGTATGGTATTTCATGCCTGACGCGCCGAATACGGCGAGGTTTCTGAATGAGCGTGAGAAGAAAATTGCTGTTGATATTTCCCTGCGGCAGCCGGGGGATAGAGAAACGAAGGGTTTGCAGTTGAAACAGGTTCTTTGGGCCCTTAAGGATTATCGAAGTAGGTTAAGCCTTATGATGATTAGCCATTCCCCCCTATAACAACCATCACGTTGTGAACTCCGGCACTAAAAAGGAAACAAACAGCCTACATTCCCGCACTCATGTACGCTGGCTGCAATGTCAGTTTCGCCTCCCTCCCCTTGTTCATCCCAACAATCATCAAGGAGTTAGGCGTGTTCAGCACGATCCAATCAAACGGCCTCAGCGCACCCCCTTACATCCTATGCTTCATAACCATCATAACAGTCTGCTACTTTTCCGACCGCCTTAGTCTACGCGGGCCCTTCGCCGCCGCCAGCAGTTCAATAGCAGCAATTGGCTTTCTCTGCCTTGCCATCTCCTCATCTGTCGCAGTCCGCTACTTTAGCCTGTTCCTAGCAGTGCAGATTTTCGTCTCTGTGGCAATGATATATACCTGGGTGGGTAACTCGCAGGAGACTGATTCCAAGAGAGCGGGTGCTTTGGCTGTTTTGGCGACGGCAGGTCAATGCGGACCTGTGTTGGGGACTAATATTTTTCCGGCGAGCGAAGGGCCCTTTTATAGGAAAGGTATGTGGATATCGTTTGGGATGTGTTTGATGGTGACGGTTGTGTCCTTGCTGAATATGTGGGTGCTGTGGCGGGAAAATCGGAGACGGGATACGATTCTGGAAGTTGTGGATGGTGGAAAGGGAGATATCCCGAATGGAGACACAGATAGGACGGACGTTGAAGATGCTGCAAGGAAACATCAGTCGTTTAGGTATATGTTGTAAGAGATGGGATATATACCCGGCAGCATATCGACTTGAAATCCTCGATAGTGGGAGCAAGAGCATGATTTGAATTTTTATGCGTATACTGTGTATCTTTGATACAATTATTTGGATATTTGTTCTGGGTTTAGAATTTGCATTCGTGTTAATATACATGTGTGTACCCCTTGAAATACAATCGGGTTGGATGTCTAATAAATGTCTTATCAGTGAGATGTTCCTTTCATCCATTGAAAGAGTGAGAAAGGAGTAAAGTGTGTAGAAATTTTGTAAAGAGTAATTGTTCTAGGCAAACCTACTAGAGATTATTGAACTCAACTGTTTGTTATCCCCGAATAGGATTAAAATCAAATGAAGTCTCGACCCAGGTAGTCGGACAAATAGCAGGACACACATTTATCAACTAACAACATACAACAAGATTAATCTGGCTCTCAACCCCCAAGAAAGCAGGGTAAACACTGATAACTCTATACCAACCCTCATAACCAAGCAAGAAAGCAATGAGCAAGGTCCAAAAAACATAGTATAGGGAAGTTAAATAATTGAAATATTTATTTACCACCCCAATACAATGAATGCATTTCATCCACACATCCATTCTATCCTCTTTTCTCTACTCCTTTACTCAAGAAATGAAGTAGAAAATGGGGGAAACAGAAAACTCCATGAAGATTGATGGTATCAAACAACTTAAGTTGAATTGAGAAGATGAGATTGTTTAGGAGGTTAGAGGGACCGGTGATGCATATATGTCTCATGGGTTTCTAAGGTTTTTGTCGCATGTGGTAATTCGATAGTGGATTGTGAGGTGAGAGATAAAAAAGTTGCGTAAAGGGGTGTGTGTTGGCTGTTTTGATAATAAAAAGAGACGTTATGACTAGACAAGAGAAAGCACAGAGCAAATAAATAATAAAAGGAAAATTGGATATGTAGGAAAACGCCAAAAGATGACGCCAAGTCTGTAAATCAAATAGAAAAAAATTGAAAAGAAAAAATAACCAAAAGGGAGATTAATTGGTAAAGCCAAAAGAGAATAAAAAGTATTAGTGGGTAACTGGGCTTTTTGGCGAAGGCATTTAGGAGGAGATGGGGTGGGTGCAAATGGTGAGGTTGTAAATAATTAGCAAAATTTCGTATAAGGGGGGATGCATCTCAAAGAAAGAAAAAAGGGCAAAGAAAAATTCAATAAGTAAATAATCCGAGAACCCCCTTTAATTTTCTTTTTTCTTCAAAAAAGAAAGAAGGGGAAAAAACAACCCTTTTTAAACCGCCTCCGTAAACCGACTAGCCCGACTCCCATCAGAACTAGCCATACTCCTCCCAATCCCATCCGTCCCCGAAACCCTTCTATAGCTAGGATAGCTAGGTAATCGCGGCAACGGACCCCGCGGCAGTGAAGGATGCAACGCAAACGCACCAGACGTCTCCAGTCCCGCTGTCGAGGTGACATCGGGAGTACTAGTCTGTGGCGTTCGCGCAGGTGAAGGGCGGAAAACTATCTGTGCGGAAGAATCGCTTTCTTGCGATGGTGGACGTCCTAGTGGAGGGGCGGGGAAGGGTTGTGAAATTGTTCCACTGCGTGAGATGGAGGAGGTATGGAGCTTGAAAGATGATAGTGGCGGTGATGGGGACGGGAGTATGATGGGTGGGGGTGAAGGTGGGGGTTCCGTTCCCTTCGTTGCAGTGCCCAACTCAAAGTAGAGTTTTTCTCCCATTGTTCCGAAAGGGTCATCGTATTCGTCACCACCGGATTCGAGCACTGATGTAATTTTCCTCCCGGATACTTTCTTAAACCCGCGTTCGCCTGGTGGTAGGGGTGGTGGTTCGTGTATTTTCGTAGGCTGTTGGGAGTTCCTCCATTTGCCAAACACACCGCCTGCACTTCCCAAAGCGCCTCCGGCAGCTCCTGGGCTGCCGATGGTGGAGGAGCGTTCTACCATCACGCCTGCTGAACCCGGGCTCAGAATCGCTGCCGTTCCCTGGCCTTGGGTAAAATCACCCTTGCGCTTTCGCGGTCTTAGAAGTATGAGTGCAACCATGATGAGAAGGACGATACCAGCAACTCCACCAACGACCCCTCCAACCACCTTGGTAGTCCGGACTTGAGCAGCGTCAGAGCCGGTAATGTCACCTGCAGAGGTGGGTTCAGAACCTGGGCCACCTGCAGCTGTTGGGGTCCAATATCCACCGCTATAAGAATGTCCTGGGGCTCCTGTTGAGCCTTCTGCTGAAGATGTAATGTAACTCGGCGAGTAGGAAGTGGTGTTAGTAGTAGTTGATAGAAACGATGAAGAGGATGATATTAATGAAAAAGATAACGACGTTGGTAAGGATGTAGATATAGTAGAATTGTAATCACTAGTTGGCAGCGCAACTAGGCGATTGCTGCTACGCAGACCTGACTTAGAACTGGGAGCTGACTCAGTTGGGTAGAGGTTTTGTGAGCTAATAAATGGGGTGAACTCTGGGAAAGAAGATGAAGTAACCGAGGATGAAGACGAAGCAATCGAAGAGAATGTAGATGTATTGAAAGATGAGGTCGAACTTTCGGAAGTAGAGCTTGGAGAAACGGGCTTGACAATAAATGTGGGTGACGTTACCAGATCAGAGGCTGACGTGGATGTTTCTGAGACGGAAGACTCTGGTGAAGTAGTCTGTTGGGTTGGAGTCACGGTATCAGAGTTGGAGACGGAATCCGGTTGCGTATTGCTGGTCGACAGGGGTAACGGAGAAGACGCTCTGGAATCAGTATTAGGGGGGACAGTAACGCTAGCGGGAGGGTCGACAGTCGAACCACTTGTATCTGGATCGGCGCGTGGTACGGTGGGTCCGTTTCTAGGAATTTTGGGGCTATTAGGGTGAGATGGTGCCGGTGGCATAGGAGGAGCGGTGTGCACAATAGTCTGAGAATCAGACTGTGTGGGAATGGTGTCCCGCCCTATATCCGAATTGGACACTATTGCAGGCAATATGGGAACTGTAAACTTCCCAGCAGTGGAGCCATTCTCCAGCAAGACATGAATGAAAGTCGCGACCACAACAGTTGGATCCCTAGGGAATCCCTGCAGTTGTCGTGCTTGTAGTTTTAGTAGATTTGACCCCTCCAGAAATCGTCCTTGACCATCAACTTTCGCCTCTTCAGGTAGGACAACGTCTTCAAGTGTTTTAGATGTTTCGAACAAAGCCTCCGTAACATCGCGGCTCTTGTCTCTCTGGCCTTCAGCTGCCCCAACAAGTGCATTTCCAGCATGCGGGACAGAATTACCTCTCAGATGCATCATATCAGGCCTCCAATGCCTTCGCCCATGATGACCCATAGCTGTGAGCGTAAATAAAACTCCCTTGCTTTCTCCTGCAACTCAACCAGACAAAAGCCTTGTCCGTTCCGTTCTTGTTTTATTTTGTTGGAAAAGAAATATTAACGAGTGACACAAATTGTCCAGAGACACGCGCGAGAAGTGTAGGGAGCAAAACTATTAATAAATGAGTGTAGGAAGGAAAGTCGGGTGGTCCAAAATATCCCACGAGGGCAAAAAAGGGCGTCAAGTCCAAAATTTGCCGGTCTGTCTAGGGTCACGGCTGAAAACTAACGTGAAGGTGTGGATGTAGCGACTCTTTGTGACGAGATAGTTAAGTCATGTAATGGCGATAGCAATCGAATTGGTCAGTGTTCCTAGACAGATGGCAAACGAATCCGTGAAGGAACGAAAGATATCTCAGAAGAGATAGGCGACTCAACGAGAGAGGATTGCTTCAAGCAGATGCAATGAGCGTAGTTTGGTTATTCTCTTCGTTTTATGACATTCCTTACTAAATGAGTGGTTGAAAAGGTACGTCAAAGTAATAATTTTTATAGTAAAAACAAAAGGAGCGGACGCCGGTCGCCTAGAGAAGGTGAAAGTGAGAACAAATTTCGTTGGTCAAATTGCGAAATAGGGGGATATAGAGCGAGGTTTCAATAGATGAGTGAACGAACGTCAGTCATCGGACCAACTGAGGAGGGAGGATTAAAAACGAGCGCGAAGCTCACGAGGAAACAAACATCTAGAGCGAATCCATCGCGATCAGTTTAAAAAAAACGCCGTATGGTAGGACGGGGATGGACGCGACTTCGGGAACAGAAGGAAGAAAGTTGTACCCGTGATAAGGTGTGACATTTACCTACCCGAACACAAGGGTATCCATAGACACAACGGATGAAACCCGAATTGGAGAAACGAGAGGGCGACAGGAGTGGGGTCAAATTGTTTAATGGCGGATACGGACAAAAGGTAAAATATAATTTGATTGATATATGGATTGGTAGGACAAAATAGATATGACTGAGCTCGGAAAAATAGCGGGATTAAAAAGGGTCTGTTGGCAGTCTCAAAATCCGGGACGGGACGGACAGTCCACAATGGGCTATTTCGTATTGGATTGGGACACCGGGCTGGCCACACTTCCCCCTCCTATTCCTCAATGCAGGCTGAGCGACCTCATCATTCAACAAAGGGGGTGACAGAGGAGGGTGATAAGAGAACAACAGACAAGACTTCAAGGGCCGCACAAAGGAAGCAATGAAAGGGGAAGAATTTGAATTTCTGCTAGTGATAGCGGTAGGAATGGGACGTCGTTGTCCTAGGTCGTCGTTGTCGTTGGATGTGGTTATTGAGGAAAAGAAGCGAGATTGGAAGAATATGAAAGGGTGGAGCTAGTGGAACTGCCCGCTGTCACCGCCCGGTGTGGAGGCAGGGGTAAGGCTGCATCAGGTTAGACCGCCAATTGTCAGCAAAGGACGCTTTGCCCAGAGAGGGATAGTACGAGCTGCCAATCGACCCGCAAATAACGGCATGCCAAAACTCAGCCGCTGAAGGGACCTGCTGATTGGCTGAAAGTTGGAGGTATATCGATACCTGGTGATATATATCTGCCCCACTATGGAGCATACAGATCGGTCGACCTTGCTAAAAGGCTTGGCTGACCTCCCCATATGACTACACATTCAAGTTGAAGGACCGTGCACATATAAAGAGAGGTTGGGTGATAAAAAACATTATCATAATAATTTCTCTTCATAATCAATAACTCTAATCTTTTTTGGAGTAGTTATTTGTCAACTACTTTTCAAATACAATTCAAAACACGTCTGCAACTCTCAAGTCTCAGATGTTTTATGACAATCTGACTGATTTTCTAAGTGATGATAATGATAGAAAATCTGTCATTGAGATTGATAATAAGACCAGTATAGCTTCAAAAGTTATAAATATTAAAAAATACTTATAAATGCTTGACAACTGATGTTCATATAATGTAAATACTTCTTTCTTATAACAGCTACTTGTCCTCATACTGCTTATTGAAGTACTAATAAAGAATTAACAATTTATAAAAAATCAGCACTTCAGAATCAGTACTGCATGAAAAATTAACACTTTATGAAAAATTAACACTTTATAAAGAATCAATATTTTAAAATTAGTATTTTATGAAGAATCAGTATTTCATAAAAAATTAAATTATTAGATTATTAATTTCTTATTTTATGAAAAATTAAAAGTATTTGTATTATTTATTCATATATATAAATGCTTTAAATCTCTTAATTTTTTTTTAAAAAAAAATCAATAATTAGCTACTATTTAATTCTATATTTATTTTTTATTCATTACTATTATCTTTCTTTTAGAGTACTTGTAGTATCTACCTTTTATATTTTTTTTTCAGATATTTAATTCATTTATATTGAATATTCTCATATTTTAACTGTTTATGAAATAGTTAATAAACAATTAATAATTACTTAATATTACTTTTTTTAGTATTTAAGTTAATATTATTCTTATTGTAATTGAATTTATTAATATATAATATAATACTAAACTTTCTTTTTCTCAAAAAGCTCTAGAAATTGAGTAGACAGATTTTATAACTATATTTGAATGAACTTTTCAATAGTTGTAATTATTACAGTATGTCTGACTTAATTAGAGATGAGTTAGAAACAGCTACTTTCACTAGTTCTACTAAAACAGCTGCTGAATCTAACTTTATAAATTACTTTATAATATAAAAAGTATATTTTGAGCTAAAAGAAGAACTTTTTGCATTACTCTTCTCTTTGATGAAACATGAATATCATTCAGTATGTTGGAAAGAGGCCATAGAAGTTATTCTAGTAAAATCTAATAGAAAATCATCAATTTTTAAATTCTATAGAGTTATATCTCTACTGAACAGTTTAAGAAAGATTTTTTAAAAATTTATTAGTTCTAAACTTTCTTTTCTAGTCACTACTACTGATTTACTATATAATGATCAAATGAGTAGTAGAAAACAGAATTCAGTAATAGATATAATTTTATCAATTATTTATAATATTCAAATAGCTAGAAATGATGATTTAGTTTCAACTACTGCTTTTATTAATATAAAAGATGCTTTTAATCATGTTTCAAAAAATAAAATAATTTCAAATCTGCAATATTTAAAGTTATCAAAGTCTTTAATAAAATGAATTATCTGTTTTATGACAAAAAGAAGCATTCAGCTTCTTTTTGATGAAATGAAACAAGAAAAAATATTTATTGAAATAAAAATTTCTCAAGAATCTTCAGTCTCATCTATTTTTTTTGTTATATATACAGCTAATTTATTCAAGAATAAAAGTATATATGTAGTAAGAACTCTCAACTATGTTAATGACATTGATTTTATTAATAGTTCTAAATCTATACAAGAAAACTGTAATAATATAGAGAGAGCTATACAGAAAATTTTTGAAAAAAATAAAAATCTTATTCAATATAATATAAATAAAACTGAATTGATTTATTTTTATTTCAAAAGAATTGAACAAAAGAAAACTATTACTCTTCAAGATAAAGTTATGAAATCAAAATCTTCTGTGAGATGACTGGAAGTCTGATTAGACTCAAAGCTTAATTTTAAAGTTCATATTCAAAATAGAATAGCTCAGAAAGAGAGTTACCTTTTCAAGCTATAAGACAATTATATAGAGCTTGTACAGCTTCTGTATCAGACTATACAATAGAGATTTGATGAAAAGAGCAAAAGAACTTTATAAATAAATTTTAATTAATACAAAATAAAGGTTTAAAAAGAATTTTAGAGGCTTTTAAAACATCTTCAGTTAAAGCTATTGAAATAAAAACATCAATTCCATCATCAGCTATTAGATTTGATAAAAGTTGCATAAATTATACTATAAGAATCATGAAAATGAATGCAAATCATCTAATTCAAATGAGAGTATCTACTTCATATTCTTCAAATATATCTAGAAAAGACTTAAATAGAGAAAGATTTCTAAATTGAAATGAACACTCTAGTAATTCAAAGAAAATATTATCCTTTTAGCTGTATAGAATATGTGCTATGATTAAATATTAACTATCAAGCTTAATTGTAAAAAATATGAATCACAATAAGCTCTATTCTTGAAAGAAAAATTTAAAATAATTAATAGATATTACTATTAGTGAACTGATAAAAGATGAGAAAAAAACTATATATACTCAAAAACTTCTAGAGATAAATAAAAAAAACTCATTACTGATATATTGAGATAATTCAAAAAGTAAACAAGAACTGTTAAGAGCTGGTATAGCAGTAAAATATTCTAAATCAGATTTAAAATATGAGATATTTTTATAAATCTAGAAAAAAAGTATGAAGTCTTTAACACTAAGTTATTTATAATTCAGAAGACTTTTATAATAGCTCATAAAATAATCTCTTAAAAATTAAATGTTAATAATATTTAAATATTTTTAGATAGTCAAACAATATTAAAAAAACTTTAAAAATATGAAATTTAAAATAATCAAATAAATTTTGAATTAATTTAAGTAATAGTAAGAAGAATTAAAATTAAAAAAATAAAAATATTCAGATTTATTTATCTTGAATATCTGCTCATATAAATATTGTAGAAAATGACAAAGTAGATTTATCAGCAAAAATTAGAATTAAAACTCAGAAAATAACTTAAAAATTATATTTTGATCGTATATTAAAAGAAAGATTAAAGAATTATATCTTAATAAATGAACAAAAATTTGAGAAAAAGAGAAGAAAAGTATTTAGTATGTAAGATATAAAATGAAATTAAAGTGAAAGTCTAAATTAATAAAATATAAAAAGAAAATATTTTTCTTTATAATATAATTAAAATTTAAACATGACTATTTTAAATTATATATAAAAAAATTAAAAGATTTTTTAAACTTTAATAGATGTAGTTTTTATAATATAATTAAAAATTTAAATTATATATTGATGAATTACTCATTGAATAATAAAATAAGAAAAATATTAAAAGAAAAATTCTTTATTAATCAATTAAATATGATCTTTCTGTTTAACACTGAATTAAAAAGAAAATTTTCAATTAAGTTTATAGAGAAAATAAAAATTATCTCTAGAATATGAACTTCAATCTCAAATAAATTTGATATTTAATTTATAAAAGTTGAGAATATATTTTCAGTAGTACTTTTATTAAAATTTCTTTTATATTAGTTTATTTTATTTTATTTTGAATTATGTTAATTGTTTTATTTTATACTATGTTGATTTATATGTTTTGTTATATGAGAAGTTATTTGTTTTATTTAAAATGATAAAGAGACTGAATTAAAATTAAAACTATAAATATATTTTTTATTAAAAGATTATTAAATGCTATATCATTTTAAGATGAAACTCTATAACTGCATAATTTAATACTATTTATTAGTTAGATTAGTAAAATAGTTAAGTTCTAGCTTAACTAGATAGATGTCATAGTTGATGACTAAATATATCTTAAATAAAAAATAATAATAATTATTATCATTTCAATATAGCTACTTCTATTATGAATTAAAATTAATTTACTCTGCTCTGAAAGATTAATTTATTTTAATTCTTAATTTTTTTTATATTTTATTACTTATTTATTTCACATTTTAATTTTCAGTTTAGTATATTCATTACAACTACTTAGTTAGATAGATGAATTAATGTTTTTATCTTATTATTACCTTAACTCTAGACTGAGTAATAATATAATATTAAACTTCTCTTTCTTAAAAGTTCTGAAAAATGAATAGATGAATTTTATATTTATATTGTGAAGGATAGATTGCTTGATTGATTATGAAGCGATTGCTAGCTACGCGGAAGTTATATACAGTGCGGATTACATAAGAAGGCGGATAGGCCTGACACCCCCACTCACCGATGTAACTGTACGCGAGATTACATGCAAAAAATAGCCTGTAGCTAGGTATCAGTACATAATTTGACTGGAAAACCCGTATTGTTGAAAAACCAGTCATTTCCTCCATATAATCATTTCTGCCTGCTTACCGCGTCTTCTAATATCCGCCGCCATAGGGCGTATCTAGTCGCCCCAAGCGGCTTGGTCAGCCCGTCTGCCGCGTTCTCGGCGGACGGGACGTAATCAATCAGGATCTCATTCTTGCGGACGAGATCCCGAAGAGTATGGAAGCGGACCTCTATATGCTTAGATCAGCGCGGAATAGCCTCACTTTTGGCCTGTTCAATCACTGATTTATTATCCGCCCGAATCGTATACGCTAGCTTATTGGCCGGTGATTTGATCAGGCCGTCATTATCATTGAGATTATTGAGCCGGGGTGGCATGAAGCTGGCATCCTCCAGCAATTCCCGGAGGCAGACAAGCTCATAGGCGGCCTCCGAGGATGCGATATATTTGGCCTCAGTAGATGATTTTGAAATGCCTGTCTGCTTGCTGCTTCACCAAGCAACAGGACCCCCTGCCATATAAATGACATATCTGGTGGTGGAGCGGGAACCCAGATCACAGCCCGCCCAATCAGCATCAGTGAACACCACGGGTTCTATATCCGCGTCTTTTCAGTAGGACACACCTATGTCGGGAGTGCCTTGTAGATATCTAAGAATTCACTTGAATGCCGCCCAATTCTTCAAGGTAGGGCAGGAGCTGAATCTCCCTAGGAAGCCAGCGGCGAAGCTTATATCAGGGTGTGTGTTGGCAGTGAGATATTGCAGAGAGCCAACCCCTGATTGGTAGGAACATAATGTAAATTCTGCTGTATAAGCAATTGGTTCTTCGTTACCGCTCATGAAATCAACATTCTCCTCCATAGGGGAGGATGTTGGGTGACAGTCATCCATTGAGAATTCCTCAAGCAGGTTCTTTATGAACAGTGGCTGGGACAGTGATAATGATTTGGCATCCCAATCAATCTTCATACCCAAATACCAGTTCGAATCGCCCACATCCTTGATCTCATAATTAGCGGCAATCTGGGCTTTTGTCCATTCAATATCTGATATATTTGGGCCGTATAGGCGAACATCGTCCACGTAGGTGGTTATATAGACCTTGCAGACGTCATTTATGAAAAAACTGGTGTCATGAGGACTGATGTGGAAGCCTGTTTCCAATAGCATTTTTCACAGCTCCTCATACCATAATAGTGCTGCTTGCTTCAGGCCATATAGTCCCTGCATCAATTCGCATACCAGATCACTGCATCCCTCGCGGAACCCGGCAGGTTGGTGCATATATATATGTTCATTGGCGGGAAGCCGGGCATTTAAGAATGCTGTAACCATGTCGATCTGCAGAATGTGCCATCCTCAGGATACTGAGATCGCCATAAGTGCTCAGGAGGTGGAGGCCGATACAACTGGTGTGAATGTCTTTGAATAGTTGACACCCTTTTCTTGATAATTGCCGCAGACTACCCAGCGGGCCTTATATCAATCAATTCTACCTGCATTATTAATCTTTTTGTCGAACACCCATTGGCCATGTAGAATTGCCATATCTGGGGTCCTTTCAACTAGCCGCCATGCACCAATCTGCTTGAGGTGGTTAATCTCCTTAACACAGGCATGGAAGTAATATTTCCAATCTGCAGACGCCCGAGCCCGGGTGAGGTTCTTCGGAACTGGCAAGCCGGCGATCTCGGGGTCTGCGGGGACGTCAGTCGAATTGTCAGCGAAATCCCCCACTGAGGCCTCCCCCACTGAAGTAATATTCTCAGTGGGCATTGGAGGATCCTCCGTCTCTAAAGCGGACCCTGGGAGGGCAGTAGTGTTCCGCACCAAAAATGTCGGAATCCGCGCAGTAATCTCATAGTCTATCCACCAATTATTTGTAGGGTGTAGAAATACCAGAGGGGCAGATAGAAACTCCCCGTCCACCATGAAATCGTCTGTTGATAAATCGCGTTGGGTGGAGGGGATCGCAACCGCGGCCACGCGGGCGGCGGAAGGCAGGTTCTTGGCACCTCGCTCAGGCGGGGCCAGAGGATCCGCCAAATGGAGATCTTCTTGAAATATCACGTCTTTTGACGTGTAAAGGCGACCGTTAGAAGGATCGACCAATCTATAAGTAGTAAAGCCATCATAGCCCGTAAATATAAGCTCCTGCGATCGCGAGGCCATCTTCATATTCGGCTTGGGCACTATTTTTAAATAAGCCTTGCACCCCCATCGGCGAATCCCGCGTGCGGAGGGCAGGGCCCCGAGCCAAGCTTCATATGGAGTAACCGGCTTCGGATCCGGATCCTCTACACCGTTATAGAGCTTGGCTGACGTTGGCATAAGGTTAAGCATTTCGGTCGCCGCAATTACCGCCTCGCCCCACATCTGGGGGGGGGAGGAGGAATCTATTAATAACATTTGGGCTTTTTCGATAATCAGGCCAATGGAACGTTCGGACACACCATCTTGCTGCGGAGTGTGGGGCGGGGTTGGTTCCCATTTAATACCCTCACTCATCATATAGGCGGCTGCGGCGTTTGAATTCAACTCGCCGCGGTCAGAGTGGATAATCGCAACACCGCGATTGAGCAGATTCTTCATAAATTGGTTGAAGGTCTGTATATATTTTAGAGCCTCATTGCGGCGCTCCAATAGGAAGGTCCACTGCATTCGCATGGCATTGTCAGTGATCACCATCACGAGCTTCTTACCCGCATAAGATGGTGTATCATCTTCATTACCAAGCATTTCTCCACCCCCAAATAGGTCCACCCAGATCTTAAGACCTTTGCGGGTGGCACGGCGTAGTGGAGTGTTTTTATAACTTGCATGTTTATGCTTGGCTTTAATGCATGTGGCGCAGAATGAGAGCTTCTTCAGACTGATGATGGTGATTCCGAAACAGGGCTCCTGCGACATTTTAATTAGATTCTCCTCACCAATATGGCCCAATCGCTGGTGCCACTCGTCAATCAGTAGCTGCTTCGGCATAATGGCGGGTAGTCAGATTGGTGGGGACAAAATGAAGATATTGATATCCAGATCCTTCAGATTAATTAGCTGCTCCACATCATCACAGTTGAAAAGACCCAGTGATGCAGTGTTCAGATCATAATCTGTTGAAATCACCCTGGGCTTCAGAATCATCAAGTATGCCAGTGGTCCAAGCTCCAGATTGTTCATAATACCCCCAAACATAGAGAGGGTGTCAGATAGAACATATATATTATTGGAATTTAAATTCATGTAGAAGATGTCATTTTCTGTAGATGCTATTATCTCAAAGTAATTTCTGATGTCCATCTGCAGATCATGGTGAATATAGCCCTGGCACTTCAATAGGCCAGTGGATATGAGGTTGGCAGATAAGCCTGGCATCAAATAGACATGGTCAAATTCAATTAATCTTTCCCTGACTGGGATGGAGGTGACTCTGATCCCTTGAACCTTCAAAGTAGCCTTATTGGCCACTTGAATCATAGGGCCACTAACCTCTGTTATTCAGGAAAATCATGATTGATCACATACAATATGACATCCAGCTCTGCTATCCCATATGGTGAGTGGGTTGATGATTGATTCAGCAGAGTACACAGACACACCAATGACCTGCACTAGATTCATCATTTGAAACATCTCAGAGCTGCCATTTGCAGTTGATGAGGTCTTTTTGCCCTCACTACTCTTCTTATTATTATATTTCCCTATTCTCACTGTGTTGGTGGTCCTCCATTCTTCAGGGGCACTATCTGGATTGGCTGCCCAGCAGAGCCCGCCATGACGATGCTCGCATTCCGGGCAGATTGGGAGGTCAGAATTTGAATGTCCGCCCATTTGATAGCCTCCGCGTCCCCTGGGTCGGCCCCCACGGACCGAATTATTTTGGACGTTGCTGCTATTATTGGAACCCGCAGCCGCGTTTTCAGCCTGAGCCACGTTGGCCGAAGAATTAGCCGCCTGGGCGGCCTTCTTGGCCCCTTTGGGGGGGTTCAATCAAGAGTGTATTTCCTCCATGATCGAATGAACGTCCAACACGACAGACTTCAATTTGGACTCTTGTACCTCCTCGATTTTCTTTTGCACGTAGTTTCGCCATATATTGGGAAGTGCAGAATAGAACACGTGGAATACCACGTCATTTGGCAGTAAAATATTGAGTATTTCCAATTTCATAATAATGTCATTGAACTTATCGAAAAACGTGTGTACGTCAGTGACTTGGACACCACCCATTGATGTAAATGCCAGGACTGCTTCCCTGCAGAGCTGTGTTCTTGGGATGGAGAACTCCTCCTCAACCACGCGCCAAAGGGAATAAGCAATCCTGCCCTCATCATACTTATTAAAACGGGGCCTAATGCTGGCTGCCAATGCGTTCGAAATGAATGCGTAAAGCCAGCGATTTTTGGCCTCCCAAAAAGGAGCCCATTCGGGGTCCTCATCAGGGCTTTTGACTTGCTTGTCCTCCAATATAACCCAGCATTGAGCGTCAATTAGCTTGGCCTTCATATTCGCATGCCAGGAGAGGTAATTCGAAGATCCGACCAGAGCGTTCAGCTTGGTGGCATACTTAGTGTCCTGTTTGAACTGGCTGATCGCCTTGCCGACGCGGCTATCCGGGTCGTAGAGGTTATATTGCATTCAGGACCTCAAGTTCAGATCCCATGCCGATGGTCGACCTGCCGGCGGATTTGCGGGCATCGCGGCCCTGTCATTCTGAGCGCGGAGCCCCTCCAATTGAAGTTGAAGCTGCAGTTCTTTGCACCTCTCTTTTTGAAGTTCTAAATCAATCTTTTGATGTTTGAGATCCAATCTCCTCAGTTGCAATTCTTCGGAGTTGGTTGCCGGCGGCGGGTTAGGGGTCGCCGCAGGCGTCTCCACCCCATCTTCTGAAGGAGTCGGATCGGCATATTCGACACGACGTAGGCGGACCAGCCTCACCGTGGTAGAGGCTGTAATCAGCCCGGCTTGCCGATCAGGCGTTTCGGGGGGTCCAATATTGGAACTCTTGAACGCCCCTGGGGGGGTCAGTGAGCTCAGGCCCCTCTGGTCATTTTCAGATCAGTCAGATTGGCTGGATTGGCTCAATCGCGACCGTGAGTGAGTCATCATACGTTCTGCCATGTCGTATTAATCTTCTTTAACTATAACAGAGTAATCTTATTCAGCGAGATTCTTGCCTATAAGCTTGATTGAGCGGATTGGCGCGTTCTTGTGCGATCAGCCGCTGAAAAATTAGCGAGTTGCAGATTTTTTCACCCGCTAAGCGAATGGATTGAACACAGAAAAAAAAAATAATATAAGAGCGCGCCAAATCAATCAATTGACATAAAATAAGACAATATTATATTGAATGAAGCGAGTAGTGATTAATATACGCTATATTTGGCAAGAATTCCCCGAATTGGCAGTTATTTGCGCAAAACGGGTCTCATAACCTGTGAAGGATAGATTGCTTGATTGATTATGAAGTGATCGCTAGCTACGCGGAAGTTATAACGTAATCAATCACTCAACTGGCCAGATCACTCAACTGGCCATCTTTCCAATTTCAACCCATCATCAACAATCAAAGCTCAATTTCTCAATCACAATGAAAATTCAAGCCTCTAATCAGGAAGGAAAACTTCTTTTGATCATTAGAGCCTATGAAATCAAGCAAATTTCTAGCATTCAAGCTGCTGCTAAAGCCTATGGTATCTCTCATGCCACTCTATTCAATTGACTACATGGAGGCATTCCACGCATGAAATCCCAGTCTCAATGCCAGAAATTGACATCTACAGAAGAAGAAGCTCTAGTTCAATGGATAATCTTCATGGATGAGAGAGGCCTACCCCTCTGAATTGCAAGTATATGATATATGGCCATTGAGCTACTCAGGGCCTGTGGATCTAGCATATCCTCTAGCATTGAAGAATGCTGAGTGTGAAGATTTATTAAATGTCATTCTGAGCTGAAGACCAGGCTCACACACAGATATGATCACCAGTGAGCTCTATGTGAAGATCCAGAGATTATAAAAAGGTGATTTAGAATAGTGAATAATGTCATGAAGAAGTATGAAATTCTATCTGAGAATACATATAATTTTGATGAAGTTGACTTTCTTATGAGGGTTATTTCAACAATCTTAGTGATCACTAGGTCAGAAAGAGCTGGAAAGACATCTCTTATACAGTCAGAAAATAGAGAATGAGTGACTGTGATTGAGTCAGTCAATGCAAGAGAACAGAGTCTGTCTTCAATGATTATTCTCAAGAACAAGCTACATCAGACTTCATGATATACAAACCTGCCAGCAGATTGAGTAATTGAGATTAGTGAAAATGACTGGACCACTGATCAACTTGGTTTAATATGACTGAAAGAGGTGTTTAACAAGCATACTCAGACTTATACAGTTGAAAGTTATAGACTCTTGATTCTAAATGAGCATGAAAGTCATGCTACTGCTGAATTTGACCAATTCTGCAGAGAGAATGCTATTATAGCTCTCTATATGCCATCTCATTCTTCTCATCTGCTGCAGTCACTAGATGTGAGCTGCTTTGCCTTTCTGAAGAAGGCATATTACAAGCAGATTGAATCTGACATGAGGCTTGACATTAATCATGTGAATAAGAAGGAATTCCTAGAACTATATTCTGCTGCTAGAAAGAAGGCATTGAAGAATATGACTATTAAGAATGAATTCAGAGCCACAGACTTAGTGCCATTCAATGCAGAGGAGGTTCTTGAATGTCTATATTATCAACTATATACACCAAGTCCCTTAGACACATCTCATGAATCTCAGGCCTTCTGGATCTCAAAGACTCCCTGAAATGCTGTTCAATTGAAACACCAATTCAACAAGCTCAAGCAGTTTATCAAGCATCATATGCAAAGCCCGCCTAGTCCTACCAACTAAGCTCTAGATCAACTAGTTTGGGGGTGCCAACTAGCTATGCATGAGGGTGCTTTTTTGACTCAAGAGAACAAGGCTTTACAAGCTGTAAATGAGAAGCAGAAATGCAAGTGAGGACAAGACTGTGTTTACATAGATCAGGAAGGAATTCTGACTGGAGAAGAAGGATTAGCTAGAGCTCAGACTGCTCAGACTGCTCAGCAGATGATAGATAGAGAGGTGGAGGATTCAAATCAACCCACTAAAAAGCAAGCACTGGCACACTGCAGCAAGTGTGGGAATACTGGACATAGAGCCCCTGGATGCTTGCAGAGCTAGGATTTAATTGTATATAATTTTTTAATGGATAATTTAATATAGTGGTGGCAGAATTTAAAGATTTGTTTAATGTACAGTGGGGAGGTGGCCAGTTGAGTGATCTGGCCAGTTGAGTGATTGGTTACGTTATACGGTGCGGATTACGTAAGAAGGCGGATAGGCCTGACATATATCTATATTCATATTCATATCTATATCTATGTGGTGGCGTAGAACGGAATCCGTCCAGAGACCAACCGACCTCATAAGTCCACCGGATACAACAGGCTCCGTCCGAACATCAGCATAGCAACCACCCCACAATTACCCCACAGAAACTGCATAGCAACGGCGCTGAGGACAGGGGTAACGCGCTAAGGACAGAGGTAATGAGCTAAGAATAAGACGCTAAGGGCTATGTAAACCAGGCCTTGCCCGGGCCCGTCTTTTAGGAATCATCTTAGTATTTCGTTGATGTAGCTTACCTAGTTGGCAAATCAAACACCCGTTTACCTGCACCTAGATTGAAGCCGTGACAATCTATATCTGAATGAGCTTCTCAGTGATTATGACTATACTGAATACTTAGAACTCTTATTAAATTTTTATCTTTTTTTTCTTTATTATAAAAGCTTCTCTTGCTGTTCTTTATTAGAAATTTGAAATGCTATTTAGAAGTTTTATAATTAAAATCAATAATTTTTAAATCTTTTTTTTCTATCTAAAGCTTTTATTATCAGATTTTAAATAAAATTTTAGTAATCTATATTATTTAAGTTTGAATATATTCTCTATAAAATTAAAGTTTAAATTTAATTATATATTTTAAATCTGTAATTATTCAGCTCAGCAGCTAAATCTCTCTTAGATCTAAAAGAAATTTTTATATATTATTTAGTAATATACTTTTAATTTCTCTTATTTATCTTTATTATATACTTCTCAATCTACTCATCATGATTATTCTACTGATTGTGACCACTATAATTACTCTGATAACTCTGTTTATTATAATTTATGAATTTAAATAGATTCAACCTAATACTTTTGATTTTTTATTAGGCTCAGCGCCCGACTGAGGCCCGGCGCTTAGACTCGACGTCGGATTAGGCTCGGCGCCTGATTAGGCCTAACCCTCATCACGTGAGCATGTGACCATGCAGGTTGTTATAACCTGAGCAGGCCCCAGCACCCTCTTTTATCCCATTAAGCTTAGTATTCTGTTATATAGCAGTTAGCAATGCAGAGAGTTTCCTTCTTATGCAGCTTGCATTCACATTCTAACATAATACTAAGCTTCTCTCCTACTTTTTCTACTCAGAATTAAGTAGAATCTGCTTAACAAGAATCTAATAACATGACTGCATGCTGAGTTTAAACATAGTCAGCTCAAAACAGAAATTCATTCTTCTTAGTCATTAGAAAGATCCAGATCGGAATGATCATCTCAGACTTCCAGCTCTCTGAAAAGGTCAAGAAGAACTGATAATATGTTTTAACAAAGTCAATTGATTAAACATAAATCTTATTTAAAAAATTCAGATAGATAATCTACTCAGACAAGAATCATATCTACAATAAGTTAGTAGTAATCATTGATAGTATTTTTGACAGTAAAAAAGCATTAAGAAATATAGTCACATATCTGCAGATGGAACAGAATGATGTTGCAGTTTAGACAGCTATCAAGCAGAGTAAAATTAATAAGTTTATTGTAAAATATGATAAGCTTAGTCATATTTTAATCTGTATCATAGTCAGCAATCAAGCAACAAGTTAAGAAATCACTCTCTCAAAGAACACAAAAAGATTTGTCATAATTGATAACTTAAAATATCTCACTGATAATAAGAAGTCAAAGTTTGAGCACTGACTTTTTTAAATGAAGAACAAACTCTAAGAAAATACTAATTACTATCTTAATAAATGCATAAAAATTATATATATTGAAAATCAGACTAATGAAGATGCAGTACATCATATTAAATTATACTTAAAAAAAATCATTTTGAATATATCAGATTATAGAAAAGATATTTGAGTATCTCAAGTTAATCTATGAGAATGTTAATAAGTTGCAAAATACCAAGAATGACTATCACAAACTGATTATACATAATAATGACAATTACTATAAGTTTATTATAAACTTTTTACATCTAGTAGATAAGATTAAAATTATTAAAAAGAATTATAAGATTGACTTTAATAATAAGTTTTTTTTTAATCTTTAGAGAATAATGATAACGATTAATGCAACAACTGATATATATACTAAGTTTTAGAAAATCTATACTCTGATAACTCATACTCTTCATATGATCAATATTACTTAGAAGTTAAAAAATCTACAAAGTAATAAATCTAATATCTTAAAATAAAATACTTTATAAATCTTATATACTTAGATCTCTATCAGCTTTTTAAAGCTAATCACTATAGCAAAAAAATCTGTAAACTCTTACTCAGATATTCAGTACTACTACTATAATAGAAAAAATTATATTATCAGAAACTACTTCATAAAATAAAAGTCTCAATAGATAATTACTGAGTTCACTAAGAATGATATTATTGAAGTCTTAGTAAATTTAGAAAAAAAAAGTCTAAGAAAAGTCTTCTTCATTTCAGATTGCTCAATAGTATATAAAAGATTTAATATAAAAAATTTAATTGAAGAAAAAAGCTTTAATATATTAATTAAATTAGTTTATAATAAAATTATCACTTCTATAAATTCTTTTACTGATACTGAGATAAATAATATAAAGTTTATTAATATTTAATATGCTATAAAGTTGATAAGACTCTTCAATAGAAAGTTTTAAAACTTTTATTTAAATACTATATAAAGGAATATAATAAATCTTAGATAAGATGATAGATCATATATTGATTTTTGATCTTTAAATGAATA